AAAATAGTAATTTCTTATAAACTCAGTAATTATTTTTAACGATTAAATCTTATTTATTGCAATTCTTTGAATTGATCAAAATACTCATCAGAATTAGTCTTGGGGCTTTACCAGACAAACATCCATGAATATACAAACTTGAGAAATATTTCCATTTGTACGACAAACCCATGAAAATTCTAACTAACGTCCAATTTCTTACACCATAATCAGACCAAAGTTGGAATGTCTAATGTAAAATTTGCATACAAAGTATATTTACATAACTAATTTAATATTCATTTATAACAGCATTGGATAACAAGTTTTAACTTCATTTTAAAAAAAATGTACAAAATTCAAAATGGAATTTAGACATGTGACAAGATGGTGATTTTGGGGACTTTTCATCCTGAACAAAAAAACATCAATCCTGGAATTTCATTGGTCCATGTTCCATGTCCTGTGTCACTGGACATTTTTAATTTAGTATAAAAGGTTAAAACAATAAAGAAAATGTAGAATAACACTACCTTATGGTAAAAATAAATTATTTAAAAGCCCAAAAAGACGCAAGCCAGGGCTGACCGTGTGAGGGCTTTATAGCCAGTCAAGGTCGTTAAAAACCCCCATAAGTAAAATGTCTCAGATTGCAAATAGTCCCACATGTTTTTTAATTTATTAATAAGAACATAGATTTTTAAATTCAAAGACTATTACAAGTTTTACTACTAACTTGATCTCCTGGAATGTTTATAAAAGCCTAAATACTATGGAAATTCTTTACAACAAAGATATTTATCTTTTAACCAATTTTCTTTTATGTAGTTAAATCTCTTCAGACTATTAGAGATAGCATTTGGTGAAACTTGGTGATTTCAGCTACTTTACTTTTAAAGACTAACCAGAATTTTGTCTAAATAGCTCATGTCACAATTTGAATAAAATTGACCTTTTGAAAGAAAATTTGGTCTTTTCTATCAAAGTAAACATAAGTCAGCCTTTTTACCATAAATAGATATTATATCAAATATAACTAAATACTACAATATTAGCTGCCACATTCAAAGTATGGTCTCTAAAATCTTTTGAATAAAATCACTTACTTTGACCTAAAATATGTGACCTTGACAAGGTTAAGCAATCTAGATCATCCAATTGTTTTACTAAGTATAAATAACAGTATCACAGTAATTCAGTTGACTCTCTGTATCTCAAACTCTTTTAAAAATTCAATTTTAAATGAAATGAGAAATCAAAAGTATGAAGAAGTTGTGTTTTCCAGAGGAATAATTGACCTCTGTGACCTTTTTCCAAAGCCCACTAATGGCACTATAGGAAACTGGTAATGTTAAATATTTGACTGGTTTTAGTATTCATATTTGCTATTCTAATCTGTTTTTTTCCCTGCTCCTTACAAGAATATTCATATATTTACGGTTTAAACTTTTAGGTCTGTCCAATCAAAATAGATGTTACATACATGTAACTTCACAAAGGTTCTTTCAGAATTGGGAGATATAAGGAGAGTCAACATGTGCTCTAACTCATATAGTTCTGGTGGATTCTATCATGGATATTTGAAAAAATGAGTAACATATTGGAAAAGAGGCTGCACAGACATAAAAATCAAGCATTACATACAACTAAGGTTCACGCTTCCATACATAAAATAAAATATCTACTGTATATACACATACATCTGTGTAAAACAGAATCGTAAGAATGAAAAATCGCATTTACAAAAAATACAATAACAAACACAAGAGCAAGATCAAAAGGAGAGTAAAGTAAAATAAATCTTAGAGTAATACTGATAAATATACACTGAAAAAATACAAAATAAATAAACAACAATTACTGTAGGACAAACTAACTGTTCATACCTGGGAACAGACCTATGCAAATTGCTAAACAAAATTAAATCAAGTGAGTTTTTAAAACTTAATAATTGACAAACAGACATTTGTTTTCTGGAACTGACTATGGAGAAGATGATTTTTGATAGACTGGCATTTGAGAATACATGGAATGACGAAATTCTAAACATGTATAGGGAAAAACCCCAGTCTTTTTTTCTGATTTTCTATGTTGTCACAAAGTGTCTGGGTATTGTTTAATAGCTATATATTATCATACTTTGGCAGAAATGAATTATGACTATTTAATATTTTAGAAAAGATGGATAAATTTGCCATTTTCTTGTTTTAACACCTGAGAAAAATATTGATGAGAAAAAAAATCACTGTGATATATAATGTTTGTTTAACAATGAAAAAATTATATTTAGAACACTATTTCCATGAACTTGAGATCTGTAGTGAACACACATTGTAATGTACTGAACTGACTAGATTAAATATGAGTTGTAAAATGTCAATATACTTTTTTACTCACATAATGAGCTGACATCATAAAAATTATCTTTTTTCCAGATCAGCTGTTTTTGAAGCACCTTCTATATTTTTTTTTAGGATTAAAGGATCCTAAGTTCTATTCTTCTTTGTACAAATACTATAGTTGTTGGGACATCTTCAAGTAATTGAAATTAGTCCATCAACTATAGTAATAACAGCAACATGCATATATTAGTAAATGTAAAGCATGGCAGATGACACTCAGAATATGTACATGGCAAGTTGGCACAGAATATCTGATGGTTTACTGCTTAGAAATTAATGGACTTATGATATCATTTAAACAAACTATAAGTTTATCTTATAAGGTATTTTGATTTTTTAACCCAATTTTTTGTTAAAACTGATAGGATTGCATTTTCATCTGAAGTTTTCAAAAATTCCTAAACAGATCTGTTATGTCTTAGTGTATTTTTGTAATATGTGTATACTAGAATGTAAAATATTTAAAAATGCATTATCATAATCAACAATTTGTACAATTATTTGCATAAAATTGTCATATAAATTAAATGATGTTTTACACAACTCCACGATTTATTAAAATCCATTATGAAAACAAAAATGTTTGGGAAATTTTCACATGCTTTATTTCTAAATCAATTTGCCTTTCCACATATTAATGTAATGGGAATGAAATGTTTTATTTTAGAAGGTCAATAACAGGAGTATCACATTGTTTATTGACTATCAAAACAATGCATTGTGGGATAGAATCAGTGTCTTACATTAATCAAATTTACCAAATTATTTCACCACCAAAATAAAATTTACAATAAAAGTTTCTTCCATCCAAACAGTCCTCAATTTTCCTGGTATAAAATATTTATACAGATTGACAAAAAAGTGGTAAAAGGACCCAAACTTTTCAGTTCAAAACGGAAAGACATACGATGTTAAGATATGTAAAAGGTTCGTGAAATGAACAAGGTTTCCATAAACACACAACTGATATGCACATAAATAATTAGTACGACAACAAACGTCTGGATGTGTTTCTATGACAACAATAAGGACACCACATACATATTTATATCTTACGATGCTGCCTTGTGAGCCATTGTTAATTATAAATAGGACTGAAGGACGGATGGAAACAGATTAAATAAAAATGCTGGCCAAGATGGTCTTGCATTGTTTAAAAGGCATATAATTTCAAATGACTTTCAAATTATTTTTTCTAGAAATAAATACATGAGTTACTGAAGAATTAATTATCTCCTGTTTTTCTTAAAGCAGCTTTGGATGATTTTTGGCATTCATATATAGAATAAGTTTCAATGAAAACTTGCAAAGGGGATTTTGAAATATTTACATGTTTTTTTCCTTGTTCAAATATCTCGATTAAAAAAATTTTTTTTTAACAAATATGGTAGAAACTTTAATACAAATTCACCATCAGCATGCATAATTACACACCTGTAAGAATAATTTTGTTTACTGAATTGCATTTTGAGTGTATTCTTTTTTTATCATTATGATTAACAAAAATATAGTTTTCGGGAATCGAAAAAGAATATCAGTTTTAATGATATGAAGATGTATCATTCAAATTTTCATAAAAACCCCAAATTGTGATATTGTCGTTGAATATTGTACAATGCTGCCCTCAACAATATGAAAAATACAAACACATTAAAATTATTTAACTCTTCATTAAATGTATTTATTCTAGAGAAGATTGTATTGTTAATTTTGACCTTGAACCTTTCCAAACTTCAGTCCAAAACAATTCCTTAACATTCTATATAAGACTTCCCAGTCATTCAACTTTCTTTCGCAATTCAACTCTTAACATCCCATAATGTGATATCATTACTAATTATTTTATGTGACCTAAATTTCTCTATATCTATATTAAAACATGCTGAAACCAAAATCCATTTGAGACTGAAAATTAAGTTCATTTTGAGAAAAACAGTTGTTTGTTTCATGGTCTCAGAAAATTCTGATGCTTTTTATCATAACTTCATGTCATTTTTCATCATTAAAGAAATTGTAAATGTACCATATTGGTGAACATCTGATTACATTTGCTCCTAACCCCCTGAAATCCTCAAAACTCATTAACCCTTAAATGGTATTATACACACAGTATGTTTTAATCTGTCTTTTCTTCTGATCTATAAAAATGATCAGGTTTTATGAAAAACATTTGTAAAATAAGTTTTTTTCCCTTAAAAAGAAGAAGCAATTGAATTTATTGCAACTCCCCTTCTGGTTTATACAGCCCTTCTTAGTATGAAATACGAGGAAATGTAGGAAAGATGAGTTTTTAAAAACTTAATCATTCAGTCAAACACATGATTATTTTAGCTATCAGAGTACTCCTTTATGTATACTACAAAATTCTAATTCTACAAGTGAGCAATTTAAAAATCACTTCTCTACAAGTACATACATAAACAAAACTATATCTACAAAAAGTTTGACACATTAGCATATATCATTATTCAAATTGATTCAAAATCTCTGTACATGTAAAAAAAGATCTATGTATATTTAAAATTCTTCCTGGACGTTTACAAATCACTGAAAAAATTATTCACATCAAAAAAAAAATACATATTATGGATAAACAAATATCTTAATGAATGGAAAAAAACTAACTAAATAATTAATGAGAATCTAACTCAAATCAATTATTCTATATTGAAATCTAATGAATGAAAGTTAGAAAATTCATTATGTTATCAATTTTTTAAAGGCACAGAAGTGACATAGAAAACCAATACGAAAAAAAAAAGAAAAAAAAGTCCAGCTTTCATAACAGATCCAATATCTAAGTTTTAGAACAATAATTCAGTAATATCCTCAGTGAAATGTAAACTCCAGTAAAAAGAGGTTATTTATTTTAAATGCTTTTTCATATATTGTTTAACATTAAATATACACAAATCAGCTCGTTGATTTCACATTTGTATTATCATCATCGATTTCTGAGTCTTGTGAAGATCCTCGTGAAAACAACAAATTTGTTGACGGTGGTAAACTTGGATATAAATGTTCTACATTGTGTAATAAAGGCTGCGATGCTGCTCTGTCAGGTGACCCATCAATAGGTTGCTGTCTCCGTATTGATTGGTACAAATGACAAGGTGAAAGGTCAACATAATTTAATGGCTGTTCTGTATCGGGTGACGGCCACGTGCCGGGATTGTTCGGTACCGATGGTGATGCTTCTGTTTCTACATGACTGGTTGCATGAGATGTGACCAGACTGGCTGGTGCTGTCAGATAATGATTAACATTGACAGGCTGAGCACTTATTGTCACTGTAGCTGTCACTTTGTTTTCTGAAATCATGGAAAAAAATATTGATTAATACCTTATTCGTTAGTGTTTTGTAAACTATTATTCTCTTATGTTAATATCGTTTTGTACTTCTGAAAATCTTCATTGACTCCACACTAATTCAGGAGTTTATACATTCTAAGCTTTTATTAGGAGTGGAACTTGTAAAAAGTCCATGCATCAACCATATATTTAGCTCCATGGGGATTTGCAAAAAGTCTTTGCATTAACCATATATGTAGCACCTAAAGATGCCTCTGATCAAATAATTGTAATTAATTAAAGGAGCTTCTTGTTCTAATAGTAGAGGCTAGTCTTATACCTGTACAAACACATTATATAACAGCTGTTTCAGCCATTTTCTTATATATCATTCTATATGAAACATGAGAAAACAATCAATTTTGAGAGTTTATAGCGTAATGTCAGTGTTGGCATTTTAAAGGTAAATTAATTAGGTAATTCTCTTGTTTTCCAATTTAAAAAAAAATTGGAATTTTAACATTTCGTAGGATACCAACTTTTACGCATTCTGAAAGTATTGCATGGCAATACATAGTCCCCTACCGGTTAAAAATTAATTGTACTGGAACAATATGCTAACTTGATCTATAACTTGTCATGGTGTAAACTATATAACAAATATCAAGTCAATATCTTCAAGCATGATGACAAAAAGTGAGGAAAACTGATTAATAAAGTGAATTTTCTAAGTCCAAGGACCATAACTCTGCACAAAATCATCAGACCGAAACAAAATTCTAACTTGGTCTGTAACTTGTCATGATAAAACTATATACCAATTATCAAATCAATATCTTCAAGCATGACGAAAAAAAGTGTGGAAAACTGATTATTTGAGTGAATTTTCTAAGTCCAAGGACCATGACTCTGCACAAAATCATCAGACCGGAACAAAATTCGAATTAGATCTGTATCTTGTCATGATAAAACAATGTACCAATTATTAAATCAATATCTTCAAGCATGACGAAAAAAAGTGTGGAAAACTGAATATTTGAGTGAATTTTCTAAGTCCAAGGACCATAACTCTGCACAAAATTATCAGACCAGAACAAAATTCGAACTTGATCTGTAACTTGTCATGATAAAACAATATACCAAATATCAAATCAATATCTTCAAGCACGAAGAAAAAAAGTGTGGACAACTGATTTGCCGGACAGACAGACAGTCAGACAGACAGACAGACAGACGGAGTGCAAACCTAAAGGTACCTACTACTCTGTCGGTAGGGGACTTAAAAAAATAATGTCAAGTCCTAGATGTCATGATTAAGAAAACTTACCATTTCTTGCATGAGGATGGACATTAGCCACTGGTCTGTTGACAGCTGGTAAAATTACCCTTTCAGTACCATGATTATTATCTGGAAAATAAATACAAAGTTTGAGTCATTTACAATTCTCAACCATTTACACAAAGATCCCTCATACTAAAAATTTCATCCCAAGACTACATCAATCCTTTGGAGAACACAAAAAGTGTATGAAATTTTATTAAAATAGGTAACATTGTTCAAATCTACAGTTCTGATGATGTTTTAATCAAGAACAAAATAGTGTGCACTGTTAACCGAGCACAAGATAGGGTATCCACTTTCAGTACTCTTGTCTTTTTCATGGCAGCCAGTTTTTAATGGTGGAGTAAACCAAAGTTCCCGGAAAGAACCATCAACATTCAGCAGGAATTTGCCCCAAAGTTGGTCATCAGGTACAAAAATCGTCATTTTTGACGATTTTTCGTCCTATTTCTTGACCCCAAAGACCAAGGGATGCTGATATAGGTATCCAGCTGTAGTCTGCATGTACAGTGGACTCCAGTAAACACATTTACCTAAACAGTTCTTAGGTTGGAGTGAAACTGATCTGGGAACACCAGCCTAAATAAGGTCATTTGGACAAAAAATACGGAATTTCACGATGTTTACGATTTTGGACTTCAATTGGACCTGAAACCGGAAGTAGTCGTTTCCTCTGCGTATTTCAATAATAATTATGATCAGTAGATATATGCCTGCGGGTTTACACTATTTTTGAAAGTTTTAGGCCTCTGAACTTCCTGTGTAAGACACAGAAGGGAAGCCCACCCCTCCAGAAAAACCAGTTTTATCCGATTTCAATTTTCCAAGTTCGTATTTGAGCTCAAAATGCAACTTAAACATGAGAAACATGACAATAGATAGCCTCAGGTTGGGGGAACATGCATCAATTTCGAAATAAGTATCATAAAGTTGACCTCTAAAAGTATGGAGAGCCATTCGAGCCAAATAACGATGGTCTGGGTCATCCCGTCATATGACAGGCTCAGCATGGTAAGGGTTAAAACATTCAAAAGATTGTTATATTTTCTTTAAGAAAACTTACGATTTTTCTGTCTATAAATCTTGAGATATACAACAGCTACTAATGCAATGAATGCTGCCACTAACACTATGGATATTAAAATGCTAAAATACATAAAAAACAATATTTTTAAACAATGAAATTATTATCAAACAACCGTTGTAACACCATTCAATAGTTTTATATGATTTGCACATCTGAGTATTCTTGAATGTGATTGGGCTATTATTGCATTAAAAAAGAGTACACCCATTGGTGGCCTTCAGCTGTTGTCTGCTCTATGGTCGGGTTGTTGTCTCTTTGACACATTCCCCATTTCCATTCTCAATTTTATAGCACAAGCCATGTAGTCAGAACTTCTGTGTTGACATGAATTATCATTGATATGGTTATAAAAATATATTAACTTTAAAAAAAAAAACTTAATTTTTCGAAAAATTAAAGAATTTCTACCCCAAGAATAGATGACCTTAGCTGTATTTGGCAAAACCTTTCAGAATTTTTTGTCCTCAATGCTATTCAACTCCATACTTTATTAGGCATTTTAACTTTTTTTATTCAAGCGTCCCTGATAAGTCTTTTGTAAACAAAACATATGTCTGGCATACAAAATCATAAGCCTGGTATCTTTATTTTTTTTTTAAGTCCCTCTACAATCTGTGCTTTAAAAGTATTGATGTTAGTAAACTGAGCTCATATAAATGTACGAGCTACTGTCAGAAAACAGAAAGAACACCAAGTTTTATGATAATAAAGAAAATATTTTTGTATGATATATAAATCTGTATCTTACCAACTAGTAGTCGACAGACTACTCTTGGAATCTGTATTTTTACTTTTCGTGTTCTCTGAAAAAATATAAGTTAGAAAATTAACGCCAAAATTCAAGTTGGAACAAATATTGTATAGCCTTTATTCTGTTTTATTCTTTTGGACACAAATATTATAATATTTCTTCCAGTTGAAATAATGTTCCTTAATATTTCTTCCTGTTGGAACAGTTGTAAAGCAAAATATTGTCCTCCAAGACAATATTTCATGACTATGTATCGTGAAATATTGTCCTCCAAGACAATATTTCATGACTATGTATCGTGAAATATTGTCCTCATCTATGAAAAAATGTCCAGGGTAGGACAAGTTTCCATAGTGAAATTTTGTCTGTATATAGACAATATTTCACAGATGAATACTATGAAGTTTTGTCCTGTTAAAGGGAGGTTATATTTTGTGCGTATTGAGACAATATTTCATAGACAGATTGTCATGAAATTTTGTCTCATGAAGGGGAGGTTATCAACATATATCATGTTGGATAATGATATCATTGAAGTGTTTTATTTGACTGATAATAACAAATAAACACAAATTAATATTCCAGTTACATTGTACTACTTTACATCCAAAACGCTGTCACAAAAAGATTCGTCAATCTAGTATTTACGAATATTATTAGTACATTCAATTTTGAACATGAATAAGTGATTGTCAGTACATTACTTATATTTATACAGTATAATGTCGTACAATGGAACATACGTTAGACAATTCTTTAATCTATAATTAACCATTTATAAAGTATCTATGCAAATTTGAAACTATCTTATGTTAAAATAAATATTAGTTTGATATATATAAAATACTTACTTTGCAAAATAATTTCAGTTATAAATCTAAAAATGTGCATGCTGCGCTTGTGTACTGTTTTTAATTTTTTGTAATAGTTTGATTAAGAAATATTTTCATGGACAGTATTTCACAAATATTGTCATGGACAGAATTTCACAAGGAAATAATGTCATAATAGACCATATTTCATAGTGAAATATTGTCATGGACAGAATTCCATAGTGAAATATTGTCATGGACAGAATTTCATAGTGAAATATTGTCCAGAAGGAGTTGACAAAATTTCATGGACAAGGACGGACAATATTTTATGTTACACAGTTTCACTACTATTATTAAGGAATTTCTTTTCCATGAAAGTACAAGTAATTTGTGATTACAAAAAATATTTTTAAAGAATTTTCTTTTTGGAATTTACATAGTATGAATACAAATGAGTAAAACAGTGAATTTAAAGAAAAGCGGAATAATAGAATGATCTAAAGCACTTTTCACAAAATGTCTGATAAGAAAAATACTACCTAATAAACTATTTAATTATGAACATTTTGGCACAACATAAAAATAAATTTTAGTCTATTTTCATTTTTTTTGTTACAAGAGATGATCTCAAATATGACGCCATAGCAAAATGATCGTATTGCAATGATAAAAAATCTCAATTCAATATGAATACATGTGTAAATTAAAAACAAAGATTTGAATGTTGTAGTTGATGTAAGACGTAGGTGTCAGGAGCCTGTACATGTAATTGGTGGTTGTCATTTGTTGCTGTCTATCATATTTTTGTTTTTGTTTATTGCTTTGTACATAAATCAGGCCATTGGTTTACTCATTTGAATTGTTTCACAATTTTTATGTCAAGGCCTTTTATAGCTTTCTATATGGTATGAATTTTGCTTATTGTTGAAGGCTGTATGGTGACCTTAAGTTGCTTACATCTACATCATTTGTTCTGGTTGATAATTGTCTCATTGGCAATCCCATCACATCCTTATTTTTACAGAAACAAGTACCTGCTGCCCCAGGATTGACAAACGATGGAGGAAATGTGACAGGATTCTTAGGTTTAGTTTTCTCTTCTATTAACTCTGCATCTCTGAAATAGAATCACATTTAGTTACCAGTACTTTAACAAAAAAAAAACTTTTTAAATTTGTGAGCTCAATTTGTGGGAAGCAATTTCTTATATCAAAATAATTAATTTCATTTATTTGGCCATTTTTTAACAATCTCAATATTAAGGCACAAAAAAGGAATTTACAGTATTGTTATGCAGTCCAGAAGATGCATTTCAAATTGATTCCTTTAATTTTAAAATAAATTTTAAATTATTATGCAAACATGAATCTTAATGTAAGCCTTACCTTGGTGAAACACATTTTCCGAGAAGTGATAGAACTTGCCAGGCTGGACAAGAACCTTCAAACAGTAAACAATTACAATGGTCTCGCTGATCATTCTTTAAGTAATACATTTTAGATGTGTCACATAAACATGGCTGATGACAGCTACCCAGAGGAAAATAATTAACTTGTCTCATGTGAGCTGAAAAAAAATATACACAAATGTATACACATCATGACATGTAATTAAAAAAGATTACAGTTATACAATCTTATAAGGAGCCTGTCTAAAACTGTCTTATGAGATGCATTTCAGACGTTGTCATTGGACGCTGTTTGTCTTATATTTTTTTCATTTGTTGTTTGTCATATATGTTTTTCATTTGTTGTTTGTCATAAAGCAGTTACAATGGCAATGTCGGTTCTGGAAAGGACACAAATTTCTAAGGTGAAAGGGGCATAATTCTGTATAAACTAAATAGAATAAAAAAATCCTTCACATGGTGATGTTTGCATATCATGAACAATTATTTAACAAATTTGAAAGGATAAAGAAGTTGGTGCAGATAGACAAACAGACAGACAGACGACTGACAGATGGACAGATAAACAGACAGGCTGATTCATATACATCCCCTCCCCCAAAAAAAAATTTGTTTGTGAATGTGTAACTTTAAAGTAGCACTCACCAATATGTATAAATTATAACATGCCCTTTTCCATATTGGCCCTGGTATCATCCCGTGACTCCCATATCGGCCTCGAGGCTTTAGCCGAGGGCCGATATGGGTCAAGGGATGATACCAGGGCCAATATGGAAAAGACATGTTATAATCTATTTATCACATATCTAAGTTCTGCAGAAAAGAGAAAAAAGTTCAATTATGACAATTTAATGAAATATAACAGGTAAAATCTTAAAAATTTTATCACAAAAGTTTTATCACATTTTCAAATTTAGTTTTTATCATTTACTCCATAGAAATTTATTGTCACCTTTCCACTTATTTTGGAATATAGCAATACACAAACGCGAGAATTTTGCATAATTGGGGCAAAATCTATAACTGTTGGTTGTGCATTGTTACTAGTTGCCATAGTAGCAGAATTCTCCTCATAACTTTCAATACAAGCAACCATTGCATTGACATCTCCATTTGTTAAATCATGATCTGTTAATTGTACAATATTGTGAGTGGGTGTACCTTGCTGATTAGAGATATTTTCATGTTTATTAGTTATAGATCCTCGGTTACCAGAAGAGATGTCACTCAAAATGTTTGACCTTTTTTCTTGCTGCTCTAGAGAAGCAGAGCTATATTGGTTTATAGATTGAACATTACGGTGTCCATTCAACTGCATTATCTGGGTAGCTTCAACGTTAGAACCTCCTTGTGTTAGCGTTTTTCATTTGCTCTACAAAGTCTGCCGTATCGCTTTCCTCCACTGCGATGAAACGAGCACCGTCATTGTTCGCCATTGTCGTTAAGGACGCAATGACGTCACATCATTTGGAATCGGGGCACAATAACCAAAAACCTCTTTTTTGTCCCGGGCAATTTTGAGGTTATTACATATGCAAAACCCAACGTATTCGTAACAAATATGTGATAAATCATCATATTTAATACCATATAATCATATGAACTTTGAATTATGTGGTGAGTCTTGTGCTTAATCACTACAGGAGTTCAGCTTATATTTGATGATTGAGCGCATATAAGCATTTTACACCTTTTAAAATCTTTTAAATGATGAATATTTTCTCACTGTAGTTTGTTTCACATGATTTTTTTTTTGGTTTATCTGATTTTACAGGTTTCTTTTTTAGGAATAATTGTACCTTTCCCTTTCGTGAGAGGGTTTTTATAGATATCACTATTTAGTCACAAATGTTAATCCATTTAAGGCATGAGAAATATATCACTATTTCTGTACCTATCTCTGATCAGTAATACCATTTACAGAACGGTTTGACATTTTATAAATGATTGTTGGAGATTTTAATTTAATCTTCTCAGCTATGTAAAGTTCATGATGTAACATTTTATTCTTTTTTGAATGATATATACATTTTGTTTGTAACCAGAGGACATTTTATACCATTTTCCCTTTGCTCTTCAATGAGCCATGGCATTTTAGCCCCTAGAGAAAACAATAGAAATCCCTAAAATTGTAATTGCCAGAATCAAACTCGGTGTTCATGAAATTATCTATAGTCCTTTGATCAGCAATTCCATTTACAGGACATTCTGACATTTTATTAATGATTCACAGCCATGTAAAGTAATAATATAACATTTTATTAACGATTCAAAGCTATGTACAGAAATGATATAACATATTATTAATGATATACATTTTTTTGAAGCCAGAGGATATTTAATTTTATCTTCACAGCAATAATATAATCAATGTCATATATCGACACGGGATCAAGTCTCACGGAACCTCCCACTACAAATCAACTCTATATACTGAGCAAACACATTCACTCTTTATTATTCAAATTAAAACCAATATAGCAAATTCAATAAACCAGATAAAGAAAAAATTTCCTATACTTTAAACATTGAGTCATACATGTGTGCTAATTATTCTAGTAACTGTCTGTTATCATAGTAATGAATGAACTTTTTTGACTGTTCAGTTAAAATGATCAATACTATATTAAAGTGACTCTTTTCAAGCGTGGGTGCACGGCTCTTGCCTATATCTTCAATTAACAATTAAACCACATGCTTTTTTTAAACCATCAATCACAAGAACTGTTACATTTACAGAGTAACGTACATAATCATATTATGACTAATAGGAATATCAAGTTTCATAAACTTTGAATAATTTTATAGCCATTAATATCTATATTTGTTAGAATTCATCTATTTTTAATGAACAATACCATAAACTTCTCTGCATTCATAAATATGAAATATTAAACGATGACTCAGTTTGTCTGGGTTTATAATTTTGTGATTATTGCTAGTGTCTAGTTACCTTAGGTCATATAAAGTCAACATAAAATTTGTTATGAAAGAGTCTTATTATGTTTTATAAAGTTACTATATAAATAACACATAGCTGAGAGTGTGATAGAGCAGATTGTTACCCTGAGAAAACATTGTCAACTGAGGTGAAGCCAAGGTTGACAATGTCTTTTCGAGGGGTAACAATCTGTTCTATCACCCTCTCAAATATGTGCTATATCTAATTTATCATACTGAATGTTCTGTTATTACTGACTATTAAATTTCAAATTCAAAGTAACAAACTATGACGTCTTGTACATAACAACCATCCGTATTTAATAAAGCGCACACTTGATCAAGCGTCTCAGTGAAGGGTAATAGAGTATTTACCATAGGATAGAGTAAATTGTCTCCCTCGTATAATTTTATATACCCTTTATTTCATTTAGAACAAATACTGTAATACTTCTTCCAGTAAAAATAGTATTCTGGAATATTTCTCCCATTTTGGTAATTATACTATAAAGGAACTTTTATTCCATGAAACAAAGACTGGTTAGCTTAAAGTCAAAATAATTTGCAGAGTTCGCAAAAACCTTTGAACCTGTCGGTCCTGACCGCAAAATGTTTTGGGCCAGTGTATTTTACCGACATAAAAGGTCATTGCTATACATTGTTGCAAAATTGGGTACTTGGTCAAATCATAAGACACTAAAAACAGTTTCGAGAATTAATTGTCAAGGTAAGATGACATGTCTTCCTGTTTGTTGTTACTTTGTGAACTAGCATGTTAAAAATCCAGCTTAGTGCGTTTGTCTAGTACATTTCATCCTAAATATGCATGTAATACTTGCCACTGCATGTTAAACAGCAATCCATCCATCAATTGCTTTAAGATTTAGTTACAATGAAGTTTTATTATGGCATTGTAATTGTTATCATCTAAATATTGTCACAAGACAGGTCTTGTATAAATTGCAGACAAACATGCAATTAAAATATTAGATTACAAAATTTCTTACCACAATACTTGAAACTAGAATCATTTCATTAATTCATATTACTGATTTTGTTTGGCCTTATGATAATTATCAAAAAAACAACCAAAATCACAGAGCTTGACAAGAAGAATATCCAAGTATAATTTAAAACTTGTCCCATGGGAAATATAAAACTCATCTCATTCAATATTATAACATTTCCTACATTTCATTGAAATGAATACTTACGTGGGCATTCAAACTTAGGACATGGATGTGTATTTGTAGAATTAGTTTTATCGAAGATAAATGTTTTCTCTGGACATTTTTCACATCTATCCCTCCCAAATTCTTCATCACAAGTTCTCACATAATAACCTTAAAAAAAAAACACATAATTTTTGTTTATAATATTAAAAATGTTCGATTCTCATTAATTGATTTACCTGTACTTTAGTCAATTCACTTTGAATATGATTAAACGCTCTTTTTTTGGGGGGGGGGGGGGGGCTCCGTGGTTGAGTGGTCTTGTCAACACTGAGATTGTGAGTTTGACTCCTATCTTTATTGATTTGTTTTCCCGTCGAAAGTCAGAGGTTCTCTTTGGCTTCCTCCACCACTATAAACTGGTCGCCACTATCTAGCCGAGAGGGCTGAAAGTGGCTTTTAAATGAATCAATATACCTTTTTTTTCCCTGTTAGCATATGGTTAATAATCATGATAATTGAAAAACATCCACAAAAGTATAGTTTTTCTTCAATCCACGAAAATTGGTTCCCACCATAATAAATGAGTCCACAGTATATTGAATCAATTTAGAGCCCATTTGCAAATACATGTAGACTCAAATATGTGTACATTTTATTTATACATTTGTAAATGTGTTTAGTCATCTTATTAGCTTACAATAGTAAAAGAAACATAAGAAAAAAGAATTGATACCTGGATTACATTCTACAAATCTACAGCACACTTCTCGAGCCTGTTTTCCTCTTATCCACAATAAACGACGTGTATATCCGTCAGGACACCTATTTATTTTTGCTACGGCTGCTGCAGAAAACTGTGTGAACATCAATTGTAATGATAACAACTGTAGTAACCAGTTCACTGTAGCTAAAGTCTGAAATAAAATAAAAGTTAAATGTACAATTTACACAAAAATATATATCCTAACCTATTCCTGTTGATGTACTACATTCTTGTTCATCAATTCTACAACAAATTCTTTGTTTGATGTTGCCTACCCATGCCTTGTAGGGTTGGGTAGGTAGGTAGGTAGGGTGGGTGGGTGGGTTTTTTTTTTTTTTGGCCAACAACATAAGTTTCATGTTTAAGACAAGAAAACTACTTTAGAGCAAAAAAAACTTTTAAAAAAAGTTGAAACGATTTGTGTTATAAAATTTTTCGAGTAGGTTGCTATTAAGGTAGGTAGGTAGGCAACATCTAACAATTTTGTAAATCATAAAAAATCCAAAATTTCCCCTGATTATAAAATATTGGTAAAAAACTATGAAACAAAAAGATAGATGAATCTACATGAGACAAAAAAAAAAAGAAACACTCTGAAAAAACTAACAGAATAAAGTATTGGTTTTTCCCATAGAACATTGTAAGGCCAAAAATATAAAGTTGTTTTTTGCCTCCCTACCTACATGTTCACTAAATTTTCATGCCTACCCTAGCATATGTTATGGGTATTTTCGGTTTAGCATGTTCAGCACCCTTTAAGTACAGACACTTTTGGTTTAGCACTGACAAAGCACAGAACATTTTCCTATATATTTAAAGTAAAATATCTCAAAAGAAAAAATCATTTTACCTCCATTATTTTTTTCTGCCAGGAGAAAGAAATACCGGGGTATGTATATATTTATATGACCATTATAGAAAGTCAAGGTTATCTGAAAAATTTGTTTCAGGTCAAATGATGCTACTGGTTGTAATAAAGTTGACATGTATGAGTAGAATCTTGGAAACTTCATACCAAAATAAAAAGGTCCATGTACAAAATGTATTTTACTTTTAGAAAGGTAGATGGGTTATACATTACTGGCAACCCAAAACCAAGGAAAAAACCTCAAAAGTCATGAAGAATGACAGAGAGAGAAAAACAGATTTTGACCTGGACATTTGTAAAACAGTAAAATTTCTGTAAACGATCTGTGAAATAAGGATAAATGTGCATAGTATAGAGTGACTGACTTTGTATTTGATATAAAAAGAATGGAATAATTATTTATTTGTTTAATCAATGGCCCACAAAGGGCATACAGCAGATTACAGTCATGATTCAATATATAAAGATGATTGATTAAGGAATAATGACATCAGAACATACCTGTGAATTGTGTCTAGAAATGACACATAAAGGGGTTTCAACAGTGACCTATATCATATATATCCCTAGCTTAGAGTTCATGTATATATTAGTATGTATGTGCCCTCCACATAATTAAAACAAGACTATTCAGTAGCGCACAGTATGTACCACAGTTAACCAAGGTAGATACTCTATGGTCAGTAGTCATGGTTGTTAAGGAGATATCAAAGTATATATAATCATGATAATTATTATAATTTTTCTCAATTCATATAGAAGTACAATACATTGTTAATATATCTGATATTAGCAAGAATATAATACACACTACACCAACACACAGTCCAATTACAATTAAAAAAATGAACAAAGAACATATGGCAAATGAGAAATACTGGTATACTCTTTAGGGTGTTTTCAGAAAATATCTAAATACTATATTTCTTTTAAATTAACATTAAATTTTATAAAATTCGAAAAACATACCATGACAAAACAGATATCCTTTTATTTCATATTTTCATCAATTATTGTATTGATTTTTACACTTCTAACTCCTTTGTTTGGGTGGACATGATAGGAGTATTGATCTGCCTGTGTGTAAATTTATGAATGAAAACCTCTAACTCAGCATCCCATCACTACAGTAACAATGACTGTTATCTAATTACTTTAATTTATATCAATTAAAATAGAAATGTTATTTACCTTTATATACATTGGTTTCTAAACTTTAACAGATAAATCTAAGGCAATGAGGTGAAAAAATCCTAAAAATTAACTCCAAAAATGAGATTGCAAATGAGTCATGGTCTGCAGCAGCCGGAAATGCACAAGGGGAAGCAACTTTTCCAGCATCCTGAAGCAGTTGCTCACCTTTGTTCACAGGCGGCAACGAAAAAGTTGACGGCAAAAAAAAAAAAACCAGAAGAAAAAATCAGTTAATCATAATGTTGGACATTTGATAAGATTGTATACATTGCAAAAAGATTTTTTTCAAGGTGAGCTTCACATTACACTAAAACACTATAAGTTGTAACACATGAACATCGTCATCACATCAAACAAACATCTTTGAACTTTTTATTTGTAAACTTCTCACAGCAGAGCAGTTTACAATGCATTGTCTTAGCAGAGCATAAAATATGTATGAAATAGCTGAGCTTTGATAATCCCATTATGATACATTGTAAGTAGGGATGTTTAATAAACTGCCAGTTGATGTGGAAAATTTGTAACAATACTAGTCAATACTTTCCTCTGAATTCTGATGGATAATTAGGACAGGTTGCACTTCCCATGTCACTTTATTTGTTTTATGCTATTTCATGTTATGTGCATATTGCCTCCTAAGTTAAAGCAGAGACATATATATGTGTATATATGTCTCTGGTTAAAGCATACCTGAAGATGTTTTATGATTAAAAAGTGATTATTGGGTAAATGTTGGGGATGAGTTTAAATGTGTAAATCTTTTTTTTTCATTTCATTAACAAAATTGAAAGATGTAAATTGATACTACATGTATATTAAATATTTATATATAGAATATCTTGTTTCATGTATATATATATTGACCTTTTAAGACTTAAATAAAGATAATCTTATCTTATATTAAAGAAGGTCATGATCACTTATTTTTTTCACAAAGACATAGCATAAAAAAAGATATGTTACAGTTTTAGTAAAGTTTTGACAAGAGTTCAAATAAAAACCAGTTTACATTAATTTTTTTCAGAAACATAGATTAAATCAAAGATAGGTAGTTCCCACAGAAAATGTCAAGTTACTTTTTTTTTACTTTGAATATGACAGGAGTAAAATGTAGAACTTTTAGAAGAAGAAAATATCAAGATAAAGTTAAGCAATACTGTTAATTTTTTTTTGTATTTTAACATTTGTGTAAACAGAAATGAAATATGATGTGTATTTGGATACAATTTTTTGTTTTCTGTACATTTATAAGCTTGATATGGAAAAATGATGGATTTACAGCATTATTTTTGCAGACATAAACACTGCCTTTTATGGCATTGAGGTAACTGCTGTGAAACTGATTTTTTTTCAGTACATGTAAAATTAGGCATTGAATTTAGAAGTGGACAAAATCTAAACTATATTTATGTACCAAAGATTCCCATGCGCAAAATTTAATGTTTTCCTGACAATGAATTAATACAAATGTTTATCTTTTTATATTTTGAAATTTTGAATATATATATATCCTTAAATTATATTTTCAAAGTATTGGCTACTGATGAAGGCCATACAGTGACCTATAGTTGTAAACTTTTCATTTGATTTTTGGATAGAGAGTTGTCTCATTGGCAATCATACTACATCTCATTTTTAGCTCACCGTTCAGAAGGAACTGTGAGCTTTTGCCATCACTTGGCGTCCGACGTCGTCCGTCTGGTCTTAAACTATTTCAAACATCTTCTCCTCTGAAACTACTGAACCAGTACCAACCAAACTTACGCTGAATGATGATTAGGGTATCTAGAATAAAGTTTTTGTTTTATTTACTGTTTCGTCAAATAACATGGCCGCCTATAACTTAAAATAGAACATAGGGGTAAAATGCAGTTTTTGGCTTATATCTCAAAAACCAAAGCATTTAGAGCAAATCTGACAAAGGGTTAACGTGTTCATTAGGTGAAGTTCTATCAGCTCTGAAATTTTCAGTTGAATCTGACAACCCATTGTTGGGTTGCCGCCACTAAATTGGTAATTTTAAGGAAATTTTGCAGTTTTTGGTTATTATCTCGAATATTATTAATGATAAAGATAAACTGTGATCAGCAAAAATGTTCAGCAAGGTAAGATCTACAAATAAGTTCATATGATCAAAATTGTCAATTGACCCCTTAAGGAGTTATTGCCCTTTAAGGACAATTTTACACAATTTGTTTATTATGTTTTCTAACTTTAAAAAATCTTCTTCTCTGAAACTACTGAACCAATTCCAACCAAACTTAAGCTAAATGATTCTAAGGTAGCACTCCACAGTTAGGTGTGTAGTTTCGCATTTTGGCCCCTGTGGATTTTTCAAATATGAGAGCTAGTGTGCAATAAAATTCATTTTTGGATAGCTGAGGATTAAAATAGCCTTCCTATTGGGTTTATATGAACATCAAGATTATGTAATGTATGTAATATAGGCTGTTTTCTGTATGACAGTCCGTATTTGCATATCCATACCATACATTGGTCCGGGGATTATTGTAATGTTTTTTTCCAACTTTTTGTCGCACGAACTTTGTAATTAAATTTTACGAAAAAATGAGGCAAAAGATACCCATTTTTTATTTGATTATTAGGAAGATTAATGTCAACAGTTTCTAAAAAGGTATCACTCATTGGCATTGAAATTCTAGTTTGATCCAAATTTTGGGGGGATATGTGACATTTTCACCCCCTTTTTGCAATATTTTATGGTAAATAAATGCAGAATGTTGCCATGGATACACATAGAAGGAATTATATTTCACCCTTTTAACTTTTGAAAATCAAATCTATGGAAGATACTGATTACATACATATGCACATGTACAACACAAACAGTTAGGTTAATGTATTAGAAATCCAGGAATAGGAGATGATAAAATATTTTGTGGTTCATTTTTGATTTTATTTTCTAACTGTGGAGTGCTACATGTACGGTACCTAAGGGTATCTAGAATAAAGTTTTTGATTTATTTTCTGTTTTCGTAAAAAAACATGGCCGCCATGGCTAAAAATAGAACATAGGGGTAAAATGCAATTTTATGCTTACATGTATATCTCAAAAACCAAAGCATTTAGAGCTAATCTGATGAGAGACAAAAATGTTTATTAGGCCAAGCTCTGTCAGCCCTGAAATTTTCAGATGAATCTAACAACCCATTGTTGGATTGCTGCCACTTAATTGGTAATTTTAAGGAAATTTTGCAGATTTTGGTTATTATCTTGAATATTATTAATGATAAAGATAGACTGTAAACAGCAAAAAAGTTGAGCAAAGTAAGATCTACAAATAAGTTCGTATGACCAAAATTGTCAATTGTCCCCTCAAGGAGTTATTGCCCTTTAAAATCAATTTTTCACAATTTGTTCATTTAGTTTGCTTACTTTAAAAAATCTTCTCCTTTGAAACTGCTGAATCAATTTCAGCCAAACTTGGGCTGAATGAGTTTCAGAGTATCTAGTATAAATTTTGTATTTTATTTTCTTGTACATCAAGAAACATAGCCACTATGGCTAAAACGAAACATAGGGGTAAAATGCATTTCTTTGATTTTGAAGAAAATATGAGATACAAAGAACATTTCAAGGGAAGTTTTAAGCCATTCATTAATATATATTGAAAAGCAAAAATAATCATTGATGAAAGATTTAAGCAAAAAATTACAGGTGAGCGATTCAGGCTCTTGAGAGCCTCTTGTTATATGGATCTTAGCTTTTCTTCCATGGAAGAGTAAATCTATAAGATTAAATGATTGCAAAAAAAAATTGTACCATTTCTAATGAAAATGGAATCAAACAGCATATACATAATGTAATTATTAGTATAGCTTTAACTGCCTATATTATCAGATCCTATGTTATATATTTCATTGGATTGTCAAAAGTAAAATACATTTAACAGATATTTTTTTTGTTGCTACTTAGGAAGTGATTTATAAATATTATATAATGTTATATAACATATGAAAAAAGTTGAGATATATATGTAAAAAATAATAAATAAGTATTCCAAAAATAAAACTTGCTATCATTATTTTGTGAAGACTAATGTTGAGAATGCTGTGGCAATATGATATACTCCCTCTCCCTGTAGATTTTATCTCAGAATTGAAAGTTAGGTTAATTTGATTGTTTTAATCATTTCTTGAAGGTCTGTCAAGGGATTAACATTATAGTTTCTGGGTTAATTAATTCAATCATTGTCAATAATCTATATACATTGTACTATTACATAAAATGATCCTGATTATGCATGAAATATTTGTCATTGGACGTTAAGCAACCAACTATCAATCAATCATAAAATGATATAGCAGTTGAGTATCCTGATATTTTATTGAAACATGACAAAAAATTTTCCCTGAGGAATATAATTTTTTTCTAAATATGTAGATTTTTTTACAACTTCATGGTGCCCTCAGTTACAAGACATTTGAGTAAAAACTAGAGGTTTTAGATTGAGCTTGATATGATATAAGCCATAAGCCAGCGAAAATATTTTATGTCTGACATGCGAAAAAAATTAAGGAAAAGCTTATTAATGTGAATATATATTTACATTTTTTTCTGAACTATTTTTGTCATCTGAAAAAAAGAGATCAGATGAATTAAAACTGGTTTTCATAAAGTGAAATGTATCAATGGTTTATTGTTTCTCTTGCCTTTTTATCTTTGATTTTTTTTTTTCGAAATTGCTCTTTACATTTTTTTAGTGTGAGGACAAAAGATGAAAACCTGTTTATGCAGACCTGCCAACTTTTGAAAACCTCCATGGGGGATTTTCCCCGGGGAAAAAAATTCAAATGTATCGCTTCATCTTGTGACTGTTTTTTTTTTTTATAATGTCCAGTAGAAAGTATTTCATGTATATTTAGGATCAGTTTTGGTTTGTTTCTTGAACTCTTGATTGTTTTGATGCTGTGTGTATCATTCTGTGTAAAGATGTTTCTTTCATTTGGTTCATTTGTTTTATTTGTTTTATTTCAGTGTTATATTTGTTTTATTTCAGTGTTTTATTTGTATTTTCACTGTATCTATTTAAAATAAATTGATTCAGGTCATTCTGCCATTTTTCAAGAAAACGGCATGGCAAACGTTTCTTCTTGCTGGGTGGAGTAACAACCATTGTGATAGTTTGAACTGTTATGATTCAATTCCATTTTTCATATCCTTTTATAACAATTGTCTCAATGTGCAAACAGCATCCAAGCCTTTACGTTTAATTTGCAAAATTCCTTTGATCAGTTATAATTAAGATAATTATTAACTATGTTCA